ATCCTCCATCGCCGTTGAAATAGGCCGTCACCCCCTCATGCAGCGGCCGCACCGGTCCCTTCTTAGCGCGGGACTTCTTCCAGTACGTGTCGACGAAGGCCTTCTGGCGCTCCAGCCACTCCTGCATGACCCTGGTGCACTCCGCATCCTGCAGAAAAATCCCCTCCTCCTGGTTGGCCGGGTTCAAGATCCGGCCTGCCACGTGGAGGGGGCAAGCCAGGCTCTCGTCCCAACGCCTCCTCAAATGCTCCCGCACCTTGTCCTTATCTGCCCTGCTCAGCTTGCACTCCTTCCCATCCAGCAGCTTATCCAACTCCTCCGTCAGCTGCAGCATGATGTCGTACAGCTGGCCCATCATCCCTTTCGCCGCTGAATCCGTCCTCCGCATCACGTTGTTGAACAGCTCCATCACAGACAGGAAGACATCCACCTTCTTCCACCACCCGGAGTCCATCAACCACCCCTCGAAATCCGCTCCCGTTAGCGTGTTCCCCCCCTTCTCCGGCCAATCCTTGTGCGTCACCATCGCCGTCAGCTGCTGGCGAACGGCGCGCAGACGAGACACTGCGATGAACTGCGTTCCAAAGCGCGTGCCTGCCGGGCGCAACACCTGCAGCGATTTCTCCTCGCCGTGCAGCTCCGGGTCGTGCATGAAGGCGCGCGTCCACTGGTGCCCGCGCACGAAGGAGGAGATGTTGTCAGCCTGGGTCACGACCCCCTTCGCCCAGTCCATCTTGCCGATGTCCTCCATCAGCAGATCCAGCACGTGCGTGGCGCAGGGAACGAGGTCGAGATGCGGCCACTCCTTCTGCAGCAGCTTGCCAGCAGCTTTGTAGTTGCTGCCGCCGTCCGTGCACAGCGCCACGACGTGCTCTGCCCCGATGCGCTCGATGATCGGCCGCAGAACGCTGGCTATGAACACGCCACTCTTCGTCACCGCCTTGCAGTCGACTGCCTCAACGAAGACCGCTCCAGTGTTGTTGATGCAGACGATGTTCATCTGCGCGCGGCCGCTCTTGTCTTGCATCATGTCGCTGGCGATGGTCACGCCCGTCTCCCTCCACGACTTCGTCACCAGCGACAACGCCTTCTCGATCCGCTGCTTGCACTCATGCAGGCCGGCGCCTCCGACGGGGGACGTCGTTCGGGCCGGCGGCGGTGACGGCTTGCAGCATGTTGAGGAAGAGCGGGTGCTCGCACTAAAACTCTGACGTGCGCGTCCCCGCGAGGTAGAGGACGATCGCCTCGTCGGCCGACCACCTTGCCGCCATTCCACCCTCGCCGTAAAAGTCCTCCATGCGCCCGCGCTTCCCCTTCCCTTTTGTCTCACTCCTGCCGCTCACCGCCGCGATCGCCGCATTCGTCGCACGCGCCTTTTGGTTGCGCGCACGAATCTTCTCCTCGAACATCTCGCGAATCTCAGTGGAAATTTCCTTCGGCACATCCTTGCAAACGACTCCCGCCTCGCGTCGCCGGTGGGGGTCGTTCCACTCGGCGAGGTGCTCGGGAGCCCGGCTACTACTAAACGAAAACTTCTTGCCGCACCAGAAACACTCCACTTGCTCGCCCTTTTTCTTAGGATCCATAAAAAAATAGTAGTGCTTGTAGATCGGGTGCTCGAGAAACCTAGACTTCTTGGCAATCCCCTCCATTTCCCTAGCAACACGAGCGGAAGTACCCACGCCGACGGCATTCTCGCTCGCAGAGGATGAGCTAGACGAACGGCTACTAGAAGAAGACATGGTTGCTAAACCCCTAGGGTTTTCGAAAGAAAATTGGAAGAAATGAAAGTTGGGGAGCACAAATGAGGGATTTGTGCTCCCCAACCTCTTGGTGGTTAACCATAGAAGTTGGGATTTTTAGGTATTAAGTGGTGATGTATGGTTTCAAGTTCAATTTTGGTTGGGGGGGATTCAATTTTGCTTGGGGGGCTGGTTTTTGTGGTCGAAATGGGTGGGAAGTGGTTCAAATAGCGCGAAAATGGATTTCGCGTCGAAATGGCGAAATTCAATTTCGCGCGCGGGAATTTTTTTTTCGGGCTGCCCGAAAAAATTTCGACCAAGCGTCTTGCGTCTAGACGCGACTTTTGCCGAGGATGTGAGGAGCATCTTCCTCGTGACTTCATATGCCGAGGTGAGTCCAACAAGTAGGGCGGCTGCAGGGGCTTGCTCGGGGAAGACTATACCCAGCTCCTTGAGCTTGCCATGGATGCTTTGCACCTTGGCGATGTACTCGGCCATTCCCGGGCAATCCTCAAGGCGGACATGAACCACCGACCGCCGTCTCCGACTGCCGTCTTGTTCGTGAACCTATCCTGGAGATGCTTCCAGTTGGCGTTGGAAGTGGGGTAGTTGTGGAAAGCGTTGACAAGTTCGGGAGGGGTGGAGCGGATGAAGACGATAATGATAGGTTCGCTTCCCTCCTTCCATCCATCCCTTTCTCCCAACTCCACGTACTCATCCTCCACCTCCTCCTCCACATCCTCCTTATACCCATCCGGGGTAACCACTCCGGGCTTCAGGGATGTTCCCGGGGAGGGTAACCACTCCCTCCTCCCCCTTGTGCCTGTTCTGCAAAATATTCTTCTCCTTGCACTTCTCGGAGTGGACAGATTCCCACATCACCCAGTTCCTCTCACACGCCGCAGCAGATACAGGCTGCGAGAGAACGCGTCATAAAAAGGATGGTCAGTTCAGGGTGGTCAGTCCCGTGCCGCGTCCACCACTGCACCGCGGTCTTCTTACCTTGCTTCACAAGGTCGCGGTCAGCAATGGCGTCAGGGAGGCCGAAGCGTCCCTGCAGCGTGTTGAAGGCAGTCAGCCCGTCCTAAAAAGCGTGGGAGGCACGGAGCTCCTCGCCGTCCTTCCGTGTGACAGTGCAGCCATCGTAGTGACTGGTGATGAAAGCCTTGAAGATGCTCGAGCACCAGCCCCCTTCCTTGAAGATGCCCTTGACAGCACCAGCCCCCTTCCTCGAGCTTCTCGTTAATGTCCTCGGTAAGTTGCAACATAAGTCGTAGGTCCTTACCATCATTCCCTTTGCAGACGAGATTCAATTTTGCTCTGTTCAATTTTGGCTTCGGTTCGCCGAACACTTTTCACCCGAAGGGGTTTTCGAAGTTCGCCTGGAGAGGCGAACATTTCGAACATTTTGGCGAACTCGAACATGTTCGCCAAGAACATGTTCGTGTTCGCCTTTGAGGGGTTAGCATTATGATCCTAAACTTAACGGTGGAAACCCCTTCAACGGTGGTGGAAACCCTAATGGTAGAGACGAATCTTCAACTTACGAGTATGGAGTAGATGTTACGTTCTATTATAGAACATCGAAATCACCATAAAGCCTAAACGCCATAGTTGAAGAAATTTAGGCCCTATGCTAGTACTAGAAGGTGTGGGTGTGGTAGGTGGTTGTGGGGTGGGCGGGCTGGTGGGAGCGACATGGTCGCCAAGCTAAAAAAAACGACCCACAATTGGTAGGGCCGCGACCCTAAATTAGGTCGCGGCATTTTTGTCGACGAACACTTTAGGTGTTCGTCGACGTGCGTGTCGAACACGAACACGTTCGTGTTCGACGCGGCTCGGCACATCGCGGCCGGCGAACAGCGAACATGTTCGCACGAACGTCGAACATGTTCGGGCCGAACATTTTTGGGCAAAAAAAAAACCCGTTCGGTTCGTCTCCAACATGTTCGAGACGAACCGAACGGGTGTTCGCCAATATGCTCATCCCTATGACAAGGTACGCCGACATGGCACGGGCGTTGTCCAGGGCTGAGCTGGAGCTGGAGGGGAGGTCTTGCCATTGTTCGAGGTGTGCTTCACCACTAATATATGGTCGTCGGAGGCACGGCGAGGTTACATGGTCCTGACCGCGCCGCACACTGGATCTGGCGGGACTGGCAGCTGCGTCAGGCCAACCTCGAATTCGAGGAGATGTCGGAGGGCCACACGGGGGCGGACATTGCGAAGCAGTTTGAGAAGGTGGTTCGAGCATGGGAGTTGGTGGGGCGTTGTCATGGTATCACCACCGACAACGCCTCCAACAACGAGGCGGCCATCAAGGAGCTTTCCAGTGATGATGAGCGCTTTCCACTCCTCGCTAAGGACATGTGGTTCAGGTAAGATGTGTACGGGCATGTGCATGAGTATAATATGGGCATGTGCATGTGTATGGGCATGAGCATGTGCATAGCATCTGCTTTGTCATGGGCGTGGGCATGGCTGCATGGGACTGTGCATGTCATCAACTTTGCCATGTGTTTGACCCTTACGTCCCAAACTGTGCATGGCGCATGTCCTCAACCTTGCTGTCCCGAAAGCGATAGGGGTAGAGAAGGTGAAGGTGCCCATACAGCGCTTACGCGACATGGCCACATTCGTTGGTCTCTCGCCTAAGCGCATGCTGCGATTCAGGAAGGAGCTGAAGGATGCCTATCCTTCACTGCGGGAGCTCAAGTAGATATGAGCAAACATTCGAACACCTGTTTGGTTCGACTGGACGTGTTCGAGTCGGACCGAACAGTTGGTTTTTTTGCCCAAAATAGTTCGGGACGAACTCTTAGGTATTTGTCCCGAACACATTTGAGTGTTCATGAGCACAAAAACACTCGAACACCAAGGTGTCTGAGTTCCCAAAGTATTCGTCGAGAACACTTTGGGTTCAAAACCAGCACGCCAAAATTTGAGGGGAGAGGGTTCAGAGGACTTGGTGGGCTCTCAGGCTTAGTTTTGCATGTCCTTGATTTTACCTTGCCCTTGACATTCAGCTGTTGACTTATTTATCCATCTTTGACTAGAACTTGAGTGCGCAGCATTGTTGGCCCGGGGCGGGCCGAACATTGTTATTTGTTAGGACCGGACATAGTTTGGCCCGGGGCGGGCCGAACATGGTTTGGCCCGCCTTCTGCCGGCCCAGTCCGATTCGACCCGGGCCGAACTGGCTCGACCAGGTGCTCATGTGCCTATATAAGAAGTTTTGTCAACTTGTGTGCGACTTACAAGGTAGTGGCTTGAGTGAGAGCACTGACACTAGCAGGAATGCTTCCTGAAAGCTGGTTCATTGAAACATCCCTGAGATTAAAAGGACAGGAAGCAGATGCATAGACGATCATTACTCAAGAACTATGAGCTTGGGGACGAGTCGAGTTTTACCCGTCGAGTTTTTTTTTTACTTGGTGGAAGCTCTGGCTCCGACTACAGTTTTTTTCAGACTCGTCGAGTTTTCTGGACTCTACAAGTTAATGAAAAACCCGTCGCGACGCGATAGTGGACTCCACATACAAATTGTGAAAATTGCAGTTTGGTGGGATCATTTGTGGATCGCAATTTCGGGTATGACTCTTCCTGAGCATATCGTTAGTGGTATCCAGAGCCGACACAGCCAAACACATGGCTGTTTTTTCTTCTTAGACTAAAGTTTGGTTTAGGGGCATCCTAGGTCTAGGTTTACACTAAGTTACGGTCGCGATTTTCAGATATGCGTGTTTGTGATTAGGGTTTCCAGATGCAAAAACACAAGCCCATGTTTTCCTGGGTCTCAAGCCCAACTTATGTTTGGTGTGTCCCCTAAACCCTAAACGCATGGCTGTTTTTTCTTCTTAAACTTAAGTTTGGTTCAGGGGCATCCTAGGTCTAGGTTTACACTAAGTTACGGTCGCGATTTTCAGATATGCGTATTTGCGATTAGGGTTTCCAAGGGCAAAAACGCAAGCCCGTGTTTCCCAGGGTCTCAAGCCCAACTTACGTTTGGTGTGTCCCCACCTTGCACGGCCCGAGTCGGGCCACCCTACCCCGAGTACAAAATGGGCGGGCCCGGCCCAGAGTCTTGCTCATTCGGCCCGGGTCGGGCCGGGCCCATGGGCCCGGCCTGCCCCGACCCGGCCCGGGCCTGGCCCCGCCCATGCTCAACCCTACCAAGGATAAAAAATACGACCGAAATATTGATTTTTTTACCGTATTATACGGTATCGTATAATACGGTCGTTTAAAACGGTTTAGTACAGTTAAATGTTAATTTTATGTTTCGATTAAAAATACGTCGTTTTTTCCAGCCGAATTTTTGGAACTGAGAAAGTGTACACCGAATTTCAACAATCAGCCCCGTCGAGTTCAATATGGGGGATTTTGTGAGAAGTCGAGTCAGTCTCGCTCGAATTTGGACCGAGTCGCGCATGTCAGGAAAATGTCGTGGCGCGACATTTTGACATCTGACATTTGACATATGAAATCGCTTACCCGTTTCGCAGAGTCGTTTGAGTAGTTCGCCGAATCGCGACGACACCAAATTTCCGAGGCGCGGAAATGTACACCATTGGCGAACCCATTCAACCTTCTTACCCGTTTCGCGGAGTCGTTAGCACAACTCGCGCGCTGGGTTTAGTTTTCTCGTGCAATCGTGACGCCTCGCACAATTGCGCGCAACACATTTCCAGCCAATAGTAATCGCCCATCCATCTCCCATCTCACGTCATCCATTCTTCAAACACCCCTCGTCAAAGCATGCCTGTTTCTCCTTAGAGTAGGTTGTTATCGCCTTCCTAGTCTCATTTCAGTAGATTCTGGAAAAAAATCCGACATAAAAAAGGCCAACAAAAAAATGACCGAAATTTTGGAAAACTGAACGTATTATACCATCGAAAAAAACGCCCCATAAAATACGATAGCCGTATTTTTTATCCTTGAACCCTACTGCCAACATACGACCCGACCCTATGAACCGACGGCAAATAGCTGAAATTTGGCTGTTGTTTCTAGAGAAAAGACTTCTGATTTGTGTTTCTTTCTTTCTTCAACCTGATAAGCATTACTCACTTGCAACAAAACAAACAAAATCGAACACCTGTGTAGTCAACCCGAACATGTTTGGTTCGAGTCAAACAGATCTTAAGAGACTTGTCGTCAAAAGCAATGTGGGCGGATTGCATACAGTAAATCCTTACAGGGTTACCAGCTTAGTCAGCAAGCCAATGCCAGCAGGGATAGAGCTGGTGATCTGGTTGCTCGCGAGAGAACTGTCCGAGACATCGAGACGAGGGACAAGCGGAGGGCATGCAAGGAAGATGGACAAATTGGTGAGAAGGGAAGTAGGATGGTGATATTAGCATGAGTCTAGACATGAGGAAGGATCAAACGGGTTGTCCCAGTTTGAACCGCACCAGCCTGGTGGCCAATTCAGATCGGATTCCAGTCAGCCATTGGCGGTTCGTCACAGGCTAGCTCGAGTTTGGCCTGCATCACAATCGCTGAATCACGTTTTCAAGGGCTTTGTTTATCTGTCAACGAATGTTTCAGTGCCTAAATGAAATAAAATTATGTCACACAAACACAGAGAATCACCGTCTTCAGAAAGCTTGTCCTGCCGTGCCCTGCCTTGGCTCTGCCCTGGCTCGACCCTTGCTCGTGCCTAACTAGTGGTACTACAATAATCTCCATTGCACAATCTGCGAAGGCTCCTGACGAAGGAACACAATACAACGAATCTTTTTTCAACATGATATTCTCAACTGGTCCATCAGGAATTTTGGAAGCTTGGAACCCAATTACAAGTATGTAAGAGCAGTGAGCTGTGTGATCGAGGAGGGCACAAATCCTGACAGCAAGTTGGAGTCAAGAGAGCTGTTGGTGGTGTGGCAGGTGGACGCACCGGAAGAGAAGATTCCAGACAGGATAGGAAAGGGAATGGAGGGAGTGGCGGGAAAGAAATGTTGAGGTAAAGGAGGTAACAAAGTCGAGAGGGGCGAGATAGTAGGGAGCACAAATTAGCATAAGCCTGAGTCAACGGATCAGCTCATCAAATCGGCTCGTCAGCAGGGTGAGCTGAGCGAATGATCCTGCTCCGCCGGCTCGGGGGCTGGCTCGACGAGCCGGGCTCATCAGACCTGGCTAGATATGAGCATCGGACCGAACTTAGGTTCGGTTCGAGAAGTTCAGTTCGAGTTAACTCGAACCGGACTTTTTTACTGATGAAAAAAGTTCGCGCAAACCTAGCAAAATTTCGCGCGAACTTTTGCGGTTCGAAATTCGAACTTCGAACCGAACAGGTTTGAAGTTCGAATTTGTCAAATTCAAACCCCGACGGGTTCGAGAAAATTTCCCGCCAGAAAGAAACCCACGTGACTTTCCCATCGAAAACGGGAAAGTCGTAGGGTTGGCTGCCATTAGAGCAGCCAACCCTAGTCTCGTAAACTTAGTAGAGCAGATCTAGACCTAGATCTACTCGAGCACAACCATGCTTCACCTCAACTGTTCTTTCACCACAACTCCTTCCTTGTTAAGATAAGATGTGTCAAACGTTTACTTGTTGTTAGGGTTGACAGAATTTCTTGTGCATCATTTTTAACTTCAACCCTAACTAGATTCGAGTTTGTTCAAACCTTTATGGTTCGCCATTAAATACTCAAACCTCAAACCTCAAAATTCTGTAAAAGTTTGGGCAAACCAGTTCGGTTCAATTCAACCAACATGCAAGGTTCAAAAAGGTTTGATCAAACATGTTTGAGTTTGGTTCGTGCTCATATCTAGACCTGGCAGTCAGGTCGTCAAGTAGTCTGATCATCGCCTAGCCTTGACTGGCTTGACGGACGAGCCACCAGCCGAGTCAGCAGCCGGATCGTTGAGTGAAGTCTCCAGCCAGCTTGTCCGCCTGCTTGTCTCGGCTCAAGACGAGCCAGCTCGACCCAGCCCAGACTTATGCTCATGTGGCAGAAAGGAGCCTTACAGGGATGCCAGAGATAGTAGAGAGCCAATTTCCACAGGGATTGAACCCGTGAGCTGATTACTACCGAGGGACCTGCCATTGCGTACGAATGCAAGAAGGAAGAACCAGACCAGCAGGTGGGATTTTACCAGGGCAAACACAAGGGCAGTGACCCCTGTCAGACGGAGGGCGGAGGGATGTTCAAGTTCCCATCACGACGAGCCTCTAGGATGATGATGCACCAGTATGCGAAGAGGAATGCCGGTGGGCTTTTTGAAGGAAAATGTTTCATGAAACTAGGGCAGTATGAAGAACAGTGAGATCACGGGGCTCACCATAGTAAGGAAAATTCATCTGAGCACCACATTTGAACTACAACAACAACCCATCCATTCAAAACACTGGAGAAAGGGAGAGCTCCACGAAGGACTTCAATGCATGGACACACGTATGTATGTTCTTAGCTCACGCTCAACGTGAGAAAAGCTCTCATGTGAGAGCAAACTGACACACTAGACTAGAGTGCAACTGACAGGCAAGTAACTTGGGTGAGTGTGCTGATGGTAGAAGGAATGCTCCCAGACAGTTGATTGCTTGAAACATCTCTGAGTGGAAAAAGAATGCCAAATTATAAATATCACTGAGGTTATAGTGAGGTGAAATGATCAAGTACGCATGAGCACAAAAAGTAACTGCGGTTCGATTCGGGGCGGTTCGGTTCGTTTTTACCCAAACTATACCGTTCATCGTTTTGCGGCCGGTTCGTTAAAAACCGGTTCGATTTGTTACCGAACCGGTTCTTCTGTTCGGCAGGTTTGTTTTCAACAACTATCCGAGCCACGCCGATGCTAGAGCCCTCACAGCCTAACATTGGTGTGTTTCTCACGGTTCTTTTTAGATTACAGCTCTTTTGTAAGGAGAGAAACTTGGAACGAGTTTCAGCTAGTGGTAACGATACTGAAATGTGTAAGGAGAGAAACTTGGAAGCCATGGTTGTTGTGAGAGCAGGTATTGATTAGACTGTCAAGATACATTTGAGCAAGGAAGTTGGGAAAACCTAACCGAAGTAAGGGTGTTTTCAGTTTAGGCTATGAAATGAACCTCAACTACAAACATAAACTTCAAATATATGTGGGAAACACATCAATGTTAGGGGGAAGGGGGCGTCATAGACTATGAGAGTATTGGAAATTGAAATAAAGCTACAACTCTCTCTGGTTTCAAGGTTATATTCAAACCCAAACTGGTTCGCACTAAACCGGTGGCTCAAGGATAATGGCTCGATTCGGATAAAAACAAACCAAACTGCACAGTACCGAATCGTGGTTCAAGGACCAAGTACTAGGACGAGGAGAGGAAGGCTGATGATAGTCTTGCGGGATTTGGTGTATGAATGAAACTAGGGCAGTAAGTAAAAGGCAGTGATATTGTGATGGGAAATAGAATGGGGCACACTACACCAGGAAGGGTTTATCTGAGCACCACATTTTACCACACCCCATCCAGTCACAACACTGATCAAGGGATCTAAATGGGTGCTTCGCAAAAGACATCAATGCATGCATGTACGTTTGTATCATGTCACCCCTGATGTTGTTAGCTCACGCTCAACATGAAAGAAGAAGCTCCCCTGTGAGAGGAAACTGACAGCTCAGACTAGGGTAGAGTGTCACTAACAGGCAAGAAAGTTGAGCGAGTGTGCTGATGGCAGCGGGAATGCTGCCAGACAACTGGTTGCTTGAAACGGCTCTGAAATGAAGCCAGATTATAAAATATCACTGGGGTTATAGTGACGTTGTAGCATACAAGAGAAGACCAGACTGAAGAGAGGAGGGACAGTGATGAGGTTGGGGAAGACCATACAAAGGGTGATTAGCAAATGAAGATGGTCGTCCATTGGAGAAGACGAGACGAGGCAAAATGCTAGAAGAATGTGAGGCAACACAACTGTCGGAATTATGATAGTACGGCATCCACTTGCAGAAAATATACTGCGAGAAATTGATCACAAGAAAGAAGAGAATATTCCAATGGAGGGAAAAGGAAGTGAACAATTGAAACAGGGAAGTCAAGGGGAATATGGAAGAACTGAGCGAGATAATAGAGGTCGTGCTATACTGAAAAGGGGGGGGAAGAGTCCTGGGAGAGCACAGGAGATGTGAGAAGAACAACAAAAGCGTATCTTCTTACACAATTGTCAACTTGGTGAGGACGCCAATGTCTGCCGGGATGGAGCCGTTGAGCTTGTTGGAGGCCAGCGACCTGTCCCACTCAGGGTGTTCAATCAAGGCATGAGCAAAACCCGTGTGCCTTAAGACTTGAAGGCTTGAAGAGTGCGAATCTGAAACTCTCCACCCCCATCTGGTGCGCAAGTAGTTTGGTTCGGTTATTGCTCATCATGCCTAGGAATGTGGGCGAAGCACCTACAACGGATCCTTACATGGCTACCAGCTTTGTCAGCAAGCCAATGCCAGCGGGGATGGAGCTGGTGAGCTGGTTGTTAGCAAGAGAGCTGTCCGAGACAGGGAGACGAGGGACACGTGGGAGGGAGGAGTGCAAGGGAGATGGACAAATTGGTAAGAAGGAAGGTAGGACGGTGATTATTAGCATGAGACTAGACATGAGGAAGGATCAATTGGGTTGGCCCATTTTGAACCTCACCAGCCTGATGGCCAGGCTGGTGAGGCTGGCACATGAGGAAGGATCAATCGGGTTCCAATCAGCCATTGGCGGTTCGTCAGAGGGTTGCCCGAGTTTGGCCTGAATCACAATTGCTGTAATCAGACTTTCCAAGGCTTTGCTGTTCTGTAAACGAATGTTTGAGTACCTAAATCGAATAAAACGATGTGGTTCAAACACAGAGAATCACTGTCTCTAGAAAGGCTGCCCACCTTGATTTGTGCCGGCCCGGCCCTGCCTCAGCCCTTGCTCGTGCCTAACTTGTGCTACTACAACAGTTTTCGTTGCACAATCTGCAAAGGTTTCTGACAAAGGAAATTAATACAACGAATTATTTACAGGAAAGTAAGAGCAGTGAGCTTTGTGATCGCAGAGGGCACACATCCTGAGAGCAAGTTGGAGTTGAGAGAGCTGTGGTGACGATGTGGGGGGTGGACACACGGAAAGAAAAAAGGAGTTCATTGGCGTGTTTGCAGGACACGAGAGAAAAGGGAATGGGGATAGTGACGAGAAAGAAATGTAGAGGTCAAGGAGATGACAAATTCGAGAGAGACAAGATAGTAGGTTGGGGGGGAGGGAGCACAAATTAGCAAAGGCTAACCACGACGGACGAGCCACGGGCCGAGTCAGCCCGGC